ACTCAAGGACACTATTATGTACTGAGGAACTGTTACAGCACTGACAAAGAGAATAGATGTTTGAAACTGTTGAGTATGTTGAGAAGAAGTAACTGACAAAATTTGAGATAGAATTCAAATGTGTATTTCTGTAGTATGTTTCAAAATTAAATTCATACTTGTTAAAATGCTAGAGAAGGGGCCAGGGAAATGGCTCAGGAGAATAAATGGTTGCCTGGCAAGCCCAAGGGCCTGAGTTCAATCCCCGGTTCCACCAAAAAAATAAATTGCTAGAGAAAAGGCCGGCAGATCCTCATACATATATATGTTTATGTAAAAGCTTACTTTTCTGTAGAAAACACTTCAAATGTTGCCTGATCCAGACACTGTACTTTAGAGATAAAGCATTAAGTAAATGTTTGTTATGTAAACAAGTTCTCTGTATTATTAGATTTATGTAACACTACTTTTTGGTAAATGAACTGTGAATTAAAAAACAACCTTCTGAGCAAGAGGGCCTAAGAATGCCCTGCGTGGACCTTAAAATGCACGTACCAGGGGCAGCTTAAATTGATACTAATACAGCCTGTTAGCTGCGTTCTTTCCACTTGCACTTTTCCAAAAATTTTTCACTGCATGGAAAATCTTTGGGCATATTCTTTTACCTGGCTTTACTCTCAAAGGAACATATGTTTTCTAGTAAATCTGGATAGTCACAACTAATTCAAGTGCTGTCATTGGCAACCTTAGGTTTCACATGGTTTAATCAGAGTATTTACCAAAGGAAGGAAAGATATTTTCTTCAATGTTAAGTGCTGATATATACAAGTTCAGTATGCATCTAGTTTATTTACTTTTTCATTTGTGTATTTGGTACAAGGTCTCACTGTTGCAGGCAGCCAAACTAGATAAAAATATAGGCAGTCAGACAGGGCTAGGCTCTCAAAGGAGACAACAAAAAAGACAATATACCTCACAACTGTGAGAGGGACGGATGTTCCTGTGAGCCAGACCTAAAGAGCAAACAAATGCTAACCTCCCTAAAGATTAACATCCCAGATTGATCTTTACCCTGAGAAAGCCAAAAAGAATCCTTATCTGATGGCTCCTGTTTTACATTCATGCCCCCTTGCTATGTGACTCCCTTCCCTATTTGGTTCTGGACTTAATCAGTTTTACCTGAGCAATGGTGCTTGTAATCTCATTGGTTGACCATAGTTTTGTTCCACCCCACATCCACCTAAACGAGTTCCCATTCTCTCCACCTTAGCTCCCCTCCTGTCCCTCTCTCAGACAGAAGCTTGCTTTCCCTCAATAAATATATTCTGCTCATAACCTCCATTTGTTCCTAAAATTCATTCTTCAGTTTTAGAGAACACGAACTCATGCAGGTCAGGTCGGGAGATCATTTTTCCCTGTCATTTGGAGGTTCCCTAGATGGTTTGGAGGTCATCCACCTGAGATTAGTTTTTCTCCTTGTATCATCACTACACAGATCAGACTTGTAGTGATCCTTCTGTTTTCAGGCTCCCCAGCACTGAGATTAAAGGTGTGTGCCACCATGCCTGGCCTCTTGTCGCAGGCTCAGTGCTGCCTAGGGGCAGGGCTGGCGAGGCATGCAGGAGCAGGGATCAAATCCTGGTCCCTGTGTTTGCCAAAGCAGGCATTTAGTCTGCTGAGCTATCTCGCCAGCCCTAAAGTTTAAATCAGAGCTTAATATAAAAAGCTTAAAGACAATCTGACATTGTATGTAACTACACATACTCAGTGACTGACACATGGTAGACAGAAAATACTACGAATTTACAAATGTATAAAGCCCTTCTATGTAATTTTTAAAAAACTTTGAGTGCACTGTCATCAACTGCCACTGACATTTAACATGCTCTTGGTGGCATGAGCCACACTGTAGAAGTGGTACAGTCACACATGTACCACTATAGTTGTTCAAGCCACGCCGAGACATGAATTACAGCCCTGTTGTGAACACATTAAATGCACTCCTCCAAGTGGGCTTTAAAAACTACTTTACCACTGGGATATATCTTAGTGGTAGAGTGCTTGTTTAACGTGAGTAAAGCCTTGAGTATGATCCTTGGCACTAGAAAATTGTCGATCATCTGTTTCATTAAAGGTAGAGCTATTCAAGAGCAGATCCCCAGTTCACCCAGTCTCATAGGATGAGTGAAGGCAAAAATGATGACAAATGAATTAGATGGCTGGCAAGCTTCTATCAGATAGACAATCTTGGCTTAGGTTGCCCTTTAAAAAGAAAAACCTAGGGCCGGGGAGATGGTTCAGTGGAATAAGCGCTTCCCTGGCAAGCGCAAGGGCCTGAGTTCAATCCCCGGTTCTGCAAAAAATAAAAAGAAAATAAAAAGAAAAACCTATTGAAGGTATAGATGGACTAGCACATTGTTTTGCCCCACCCACGTACTGGCACATTTGTTTCCTGGTGTAGAGGCACTGCATGACAGGAGCATGAGCTTTGATTCTCAAAGTGGACAGACGCGTGTTCTAACTTCATTTGTACCAGTTAGTAGAGGGCCAATGCTGGCCACTGGAGGTGGGAAAGTGACTGCAGGGAACGTCATAGGGTAAGGATTTCTAGGGCCCCCGAGTACTGGCAATTGGATCCAGGGCCTTCCACTGAGCTACATCCCTCTTCCTTTTAAAATGTTTTTATTTTTGAAACCAGACTTTGCTAAATTGCCCAGACTGGTGTGTGACACCCTTCCTAGTTTCTAGAAAACTTTTCTGAGGGGATAAAACCAAACAGCATTACTTTTTCCCTTTCTTGTACAGAATGTGGGCATGGTTCTACATGTGGCACAGCAGTTTGGCTGTAGAGATGAAAGTCATATGCAAAGTACAGAAGAGCAAGAAGCCAGGAGTGATCTCAGTCCCTGAAGGCGTCATGGAGCTGCACCAGCACCGTGGGTGCCAACTTACAGACTTTGAAGATGAGAAAAAATCATTTGCTGTATAATCTGCTGCTCCATTTCTTGCAGCTTGGGGGCCTGGCCCTAGCTCAGTCCTTTATGTGGCTGCTTCCACAAAGCTGTCAGCCTCATGTTGCTGGAGTTCGAACCTCACAACTCTCCCGCTGACCAAAAGTGCCCTGAAGGCATTCGAGGAACAAAAAAAAAAATCCTTATTCCATTTTGGGGGCCTGGCTGTAGCTCAGTTCTTTAAGTGGCTGCTTCCACAAAGCTGTCAGCCTCAGGTTGCTGTAGTTCGATTCCCACAACACTCCAGCCAGCCAAACCATGCCTGAGGGCATTCAGAGCAAAAAAAACAAAAAACAAAAAACAAAAAACACCAAAAAAACCCCCTTATTCCATTTCTTGCAGCTTAATGTTAAGTTACAAGTTCACAGGATTATTTGAAGATTATAAGAAAAATTTATGAGAAAAGCATAATAGTTGTTAGCATATAGCAGGTGACCAATAAATGGTTGCTTCTTTGAGATTAGTTGACTGTCAGATGAGAACAAAAATCAAACACAGGAGAAATGATCTGAGAGGGAAAGTACTGGGCAGAAGACATAATGGCTGTAGAAAATTTAGACTCATACTGAGATTCAAATTAGGTCAGCAGAGTGCCATTTAGTAGATATTCAATGTGTGGAGTGTCTTCCTTTCTATCTCTGAGAACACAAACTCAGGGAGAATTTTGATCAGTAAGACCAGATTAAGTAAGGAAATTTTAGGAACTGAGAAGATTTCATTTATAAACTTACTTAGATTTAATAAGTCATTTCATTCAGGGTTTCTTATATCCCTGCTTATAAACTCTATCAGAATATGAATTAAAAGATCAGGCAAAAAAAGCACTGGTAAATAAAATGCCACTGAAAAGGTGACACATGTAGTCAGTTTTCTTAATGACTCAGCCACTAGGTCCTAGAAGAACACAAAACTGCTAAATCAATAAATGTATTTTAGAAGCTATTTGCCAATCCAGAGAAATAAAACAACTGCACTTGAACACCTGGGCAGAGAAGATCGAAAAAAATTCACCTTGAAAATCTGCATTAGAGAACTGGGAATATAGCTCAGTGGTCTAAGTGCCTGCCTGGCAAGTGCAAGGAGCTGGTACCACAAGCTATGTTGGCCCCAGAACCCAGTGTGCTGTGCTGGCCACTGAAACTGGGTGTGGTGGCGCATGCCTGCAATTCCTGCACTGGGGAGGCCAAGACAGGAAGATCACTATGAGTCCAAGTTGCTTAGCAAGACCCTATATCAAATAATTAAAAGATTAAAAAAATTTTTTTTAAAAAAGTAATAAAAGAACACTGCATCAGACAAAGAACAATATGATGAGAGAAGCTGCCATATTATGATCAAATTAGGGAATAATGGTACTTTGCAGTTTACTGGTATATATGGTCATCTTAGTAAGTCACTTCAATTCCACAAAAGAAAGAAGCTGAAGAGTTAGGACTATTAGTATTTAACATTTCTTTTTAATACTTAAATGTCAGGCACTGATGTACCCTATGGAAGAGCAAATGACTAAGGGAATGAAATTTTTTTTTAATTTTATTTATTTATTTATTTGTGTGTGTGTGTGTGTGTGTGTGTGTGTGTGGCCAGCTCAGCCCACCAGGGGGCGGGGCTGGCTGGATGAGGTGCTGGGGGATTGAACCGTGGTCCCTGTGCTTTGCTAAGCTTGTTCTAAGTAGGTGCTTTAGACCACTGAGCCATCTCACCAGCCCAAGAATTAAAATTTGTAATGATTCATATGAAATCACTACTAACTGTAAATATCAAAGGGAGGTGGAGTAAAAAAGAAAACCCTTGCAAAAAACAAATCAGACAACGACCGTATTTTCAAAACTGTAATTACTAAAAAAAAGTAAACAACTCTTAAGTTAGAGTGCAAAATTAAAGCACCTTATTGTCTTAAAGATGCAAGAGCAAGGAATTATAAACACATCCACATTTTAAATAGTTATTTTTTGTGGTGGATAAAAGCCATTTAAAAACATTTTTAATAGAAAAAGATTTATAAGTCAATTTACAGAAAATCAAAAAATCAATGTTTAATACAACTTTAACTATCAACAACTGAAGGGGAGGAAACTGCTTTTTGTTTTTCTGTTTCCACTTCAGCCTCTATATCTTCTGCTCCTTGCTCTTTGGAGAAAACATTGCGTTGTAAGGCTGCCGTCTTTTTGGACGAGGACAAAGGTCAAGACCTTCCTTTATGTAACCTTTAAAAGAAATTAGAAATTTAGAAGACTAAATTTGCAACATACATTTCGTTCAGCATATGTCCAGTAAAAATTTATTAATGCCTTATAAATCTATATGGTTCTTCTCAATTTTAGTTGTAATGCTGATGAATGATTTCACTATTCAGCATCATCTTCCTCTTCTTTGGTGGATTAGAGACTGAGTCAAGGCCTTCTCACTGGGCATCCATCCCCCAGTTTTTTATTTGAGACAGTCTTGCTAAGTCAATAAACTGTCTGGGCTGGGTTTGAATTTTGCATCTTCCCACCTCAGAGTGCTGGGATTAAAGGTGTACGCTATCACACCTGGCATACCTTCTCATTTACACTAACAATAAAAACCGCAAACGCTTACCAAATGCTTTGTATATTCCATCTCAGGCAATGCTCACACTTTTTACAGATGAGGAAGGTAATGGACACCCAAAGAAGGTGACTAGCTCACCTAAATTCACAAAGCTAGGAAGTGGAACCTCGGCTTAACTGTCTAATTCCGGATGCAGAGCTCTTAGGTACTTTCTTATTCTGCCTCTCACAGACTGTATAAACTGCTGCACGCGAACTTTACCATGATACATTCCCAGTGCTTTTCTGGGGGAGAAAAGATGTTTTGCAGTAGCTATTTCCTTGCTTGACATGCCTGCCTCTACACTTTCTAGATGGTCAGGACACTCATGAAATTTTGAGGGGAAGATTCTATCCCAGACACATCATCTACATGACTTAGTAAAGGAGAAGTAGAAACATAATAATAGCTGCCAGAGAGTTTGACTCTTTTAGAAAAGCTATCATTGAGATAAATACCTGGAGCTTCTCTAGACATGATGAAGATTCCTCCTTACTGCACCTGTATTTCACCAAAAGTAAGATCTAACAGGAAAATAAGCCCTAGCATGATTTTTCAGGATGCTCAAAATATAAGTTGTACCCTCTAAGTAAGCCGCAACAAGATCATCAGCCAGATAAAGTTAGTACAGCTGTTGTAAAACACAACAGATGTATTCAATTATAAATTGTAATTATTTTTAAAAATATTGGGCTGGGGAGATGGCTCAGTGGAATAAGTGCTTCCCTGGCAAGCACAAGGGCCTGAGTTCGATCCCTGGTTCCACCAAAAAAATAATAATAAAATAAAAATATTTTTACTGAGAAACAAATAGCAATGAGACAGTTTCACAACCGATTACTAGTACATTTCCAATAATTAATACATTGCATATTATTGTCTTAGTGGTTATTCATTGTACAAGATGCAGACCTGATACCCTGTCTCAAAACAATCCTCTCTATTCACTGAATTACGAGAATGGAGCTATATATCTACCCTATTTTGAGTATACAGATACAAAATGGTCATTCATTTGTATCCCCCTTTTTTGATTAGTTTTGTCAGAGAAGGGCATTCCATTGTCATTTAAATACTGTAGGTGCATGAATTCAGCAAGATAATCCAATATAGTCCAATAGTCCATAATAGTAGTGGGTTTTCCATAAGACTGTCAATGTCCAAAGTTGTTGACTTGAGCATTTTACAGCTCATCACATTAATATGAATTTACTTTTTATACTTCATTTTCATACTTTTCTGCTGGATGGTTAAGACCAAGAAAGAGCAAGACCTATATAACAAGAAATGTAACTTTTGTATCTGATAAGGTCAGTCAAATCCCCTCAGGATTTAACCTGAAACCCTGTACCTCAGTTTTTAGATCCTTTGTCAGTGTCAGCCATATGGATGAGTCACGGCCATTTCTTGACCAATTTGCTCTCTGTGAAAGCGTGAGAGAAAATTTTCTCTCCATGTTACTCTCCTTAGGCACACTCTACATCAATGATCCCTTTCCTCTGTGGCACCAAAATCAATAAATATTATTGACATTAAAACTTAAAAATAAATGATAAATTATAATTAAGTATTTTTAAGTACCTAAATGGTGCCTTTTTTTGTATTTTCTTTTTTAATGTTTTATTTTATAGAATACAAATAGTATTAAAACCAAAATTATAAGTCATACAGAATATCACTTGAAGTAATATGAATTTCATAGTATTTTTGTAATGCATAATGTAATGAGCGTCTTTTGATGAGAAAATACCTACATAAACAGATGAACTTGAGACTTACTGCTGATAACCAGAGTGCAGACATAAAGGAATGATAGCATGCACACTTGATAATGAACAGACACGGTTATGTCTAATGTGAATCTTCATAATTCAGCATGTTGTGTGTTGTAATGGACACACAGTGCACTCATATGAAGCACTCATATGAAATTGAATGTTTTTTGAATCTTGGTGCCTGCAATTTTTTGTAGCTTTTGCATCATCCTTAACTCAAAATTTTCATTGCTACTCCTGTCTTACAGGTCTTCAATACTTGCTTTAATGAAAACTTTGTGAAGCCTCACCTGGAAGAAGTTGTTACCCAGGTGAAAAATTCATGGGATAAAATTACTGACAGCTGGGTTGCCGATGTGCTATGAGCAGGCTATGAGGACAAGAAGCGCTCATTTAAAGAAAGCTCTCTTGCTGGGAATCAGAGATTGGGGCCAAGAGTTCTACAGGAAATGGATTCAGGCTGGAGTTTGGGGTTGGCGAGTTATGATGATATTACAGAAGATGATGACATGACTATATCTGAATAAATGGAGATTTCTGTCATGAATAGATGAGTAAATATAGTTATACATGAATATAGATTGCTGTACATTAAAAAATAAGACATCCCCCCAAAATAAGCCCTACTATGTCTTTTGGAACTAATATTAATGTAAAACCTGGGACTTATTTAGGGGGAAATACAATAGTCACATAGTTGGGTCGTTTGAACTCTATTTATTTATTTATTTGGTGCAGGGTCTTGCTAGATAGCTCAGACTCATAGTGATCCTTCTATCTCAGTCTCCCCAGCGCTGGCATTACAGGTATGTACCACCGCGCCTGCTGGTGGCCAGCACAGTGCTCCTGGGGTTCCAGGGCTGGCAGGATAGGTATGCAAGTACCAGGGACTGAACCTGGGTCCCTGTGCTTGCCAGGCAGACACTCAGGATGCCAAACTATCTCTCTAGCCCCATTTGAACTCTTAAATGAGAATAGTATAAAAGGCAAATCTGAAAAGTTCTACATGGTAATCTGATATCTATTTAATGCTTGTGGGTAAACTTTTTAGATGTTTACAACTTAAAAGTATAGGCTTAAAATTCGTAGGTTACTAATTAAATGTATCATAAACCTAAAAGCCAATCAATATATATTATGAACATTATGTTTTCCAGTTACAGTTTAGGAAACATTGCACTTCCAAAACACTCAGTATTTTAAGCCACAAGGTAAGACTGTGTGGTCTACACAGCATGGTAAACTAAGACGTTAGGGTAAGTCCCTGCTTGGCTAATATATTTCATCTTTTTTTATGGACACCTTAACTGAAGTATACTCATAAAAATATGATCAATTGCACAAATTTAATGTGAATCTTTACCCCTAATATTCTACGATTTAAAAATTTCCCTAAAACATGAGTGCATTCTTTTATTAAAGAGAGTGAAAACTAAGTATCTGTACAAATATTTCTAATATGTGCAAAACAATAAAAATATCTAAGCATGAAGTAATGTAGAAAATAAAATTTGGAGCTAAAGTGGTCCCTTCATATAGAAGAGCTCTTGTGAGTTCCTTGGGAGTATGTTCACAATAAAGGGTTTGTGAAATGGATGCTGCCTAGCAGAACAGTTCTTTCAAGGCTAATAATACAGTACTATGGCTCTAGAGCATTTGATCTTGATTACTGTGCATGATTATATTGCCCAAATACAGTGATGTTTATGAGGGAATGGCTTGATAAGTATCATCAGATAATTTTATTTTATGGACAATGTACTATACATACACAAATTAAGATGGCTAAATCTCACTGGGAGATGGAATTCACACACTTTTTTTTTTTTTGAGACAGGGTCTCACTATGTAATGCAGACTGGTCTTGAACTCACATATGCCAGGCTGGCCTCAAACTCCCAGAGATCTGTTGGCCTCAGCCTCCTGAGTGCTGGGATTATGGCATGTACGAAGAGACACAACCCGGACATGGAATTTTACAGAATCATCACTGTACATGTGGCCCATTGTCTCCTGAAATGTTATGTAGCATGAGAACATGGAAAATGTCCAGATGGCATCGGCCTGAGCAAGGGTATAGTGGGAGTGTGCAGACTCAGAGACAGTTATTATAACATGAGGACTTCAGAACACACCAAAAAAACTTTGGGAAAAAAATCAATATAAAGCCAGCTAAGTGTGTATATTTTGTTTTTATCGTGTTGCTAGTGAGTAACAATGGAGGTAATACATTGAGAACAAAATTCACTACTCATGATCTATTAACACTTTTAAAGCTACACATGATCTTATATTAAATGTAAGCACCATATTTATGTGTCAACAATCTAACAAGCATCTTTTTAAAAATTAAAATAGGGTCTATAAACATCCAGTATTCTGAATGAGTGAGGTCTAAAAGCTCACAGCTTAAAGCACATTTTTAAAAGATGCTGGCAAGATAGCTTAGTGGACTAAGCGCCTGCTTAGGCAAGCACAGGGACTAATCCCCAGGATCACATGTTGCCTGCCCTCTGGCCACTGAGATCAGGCATGGTGACGCACACCTGTAATACCAGTGTTGGGGAGGCTGAAAACAGGAGGATCACTATGAGTCTGAGCTGTGTGGTGAGGCCCTGTATCAAATACATTAATAAATTAAAAAAATAAAAAATAAAAAAGTAACTTTGCTATTAACTGTACACTTGCCACACAGGCACTTGTTCTACTGAGCAATCTCCCTGGCCCTATAATTAAGACTTTCTGAAAATAGGATGAAAGAAAATTGTTTTTTGAGATCTGAATGTAAACCATAACACACACGTAATTATATTAAAGAGATTACAGATAACATTAGATCTCAAATAAACAGGAGAGATGAAAGTGGACCTTTTATTTTTAGGAATTTATTTTTAGCGCAAGGGAGATGGCTCAGTGGAATAAGTGCTTCCCTGGCAAGCGCAAGGGCCCGATTTCAATCCCTGGTTCCGCCCACCCCCCCAAAAAGGAAGTTATTTTTATGTAACAAAACTAGCAGCCAACCCACAGCAGAATCATGGAGAAAAGGTTAATATTCATACTTGGGTATATACAATATTCTAAAGATTTAGTTTTTAAATGTCACAATTTAATCTCTTACCTCTCTCCATACAAGTCTGGGTGGAAGGAAAACCAACTTCCCAGAAATTCTCTGGTGTGTTGGGTGGAATATATCGAAATCGGTGTCTTGAGCAGGAAGCCAGTTTCTTTTCTCTTTCTTCTGCTGGCATATCTGCATAATACTGATAGAAAAACAGTAGATTAAAAGAGTCTGTATTCTATGAAAAAATACGGAGAATAGCTTCAGTAATTAATACTTAAAGACACTATCAATTACTAACAGTAATCAGTGCTGCTACTGGTCCATGCAAGGTTTGTTCCATGAATGAGAAAAATGTAAATAAATTTCTAATGTGAATTTATATTCATAACGTAAACCATCATCCTGCCTCAGTGCACCTTTTGTCCATGTACTGGTATAAATGTCTCATTTTTTGTTAAGTCTACTTAAAAAAAAATTCAGTGGTCTGCAGTTTTTTCAGTTGTTATTTGGATATAACATGAATATTTCAAAGTAATTTGCTCATCTCTAGATCCATCTATTGATCTATCCATCCATCTGTATTGGGGCTGAACTTGGGGCCCTGCACATGTAGGGCAAGCTCTCTATCACTGAGTTTCAAATTCAGAACCTTTCACAAATATTTTGAGACAGAATCTTGCTAGGTTGCCCAAACTGGCCTAAAACTTGTGATCCTCTTGCCTCAATAGCTGGTATTACCAGCAGATGCTATTATGCTGTAAGAGTATTTTATAGGGCTGGGGAGATGGCTCAGTAGAATAAGCACTTGCCTGGCAAGTGCAAGGGCCTGAGTTCAATCCCAGATTCCACACACACACACACACACACACACACACACACACAAAGTATTTTATAAGAAAAATTTAATTTGGAATGCTATAGGATTTATGACTTCCCCTGTGCACTGTTATTTATTCTGGTGGAACTGGGGATTGAACTCAGGCCCTTGTGCTTGCCAGGGAAGCACTTATTCTACTGAGCCATCTCCCCAGCCTGGAACTGTTATTTTTAATATGCAATTTTTTTGGGGGGCGGGGAGGTGAGGATTGAACTCTGGCCCTTGTGCTTGCCAGGCAAGCGTTTATTCTACTGAGCTATTTCCCTGGCCAAACTGTTATTTTAAAATTAGGATCAAAGGCTCACTTTTTAAAACTGTTATCATGATGACCTTGAACTTCATGCAAACATGGATAAAATTTACATGTAAAACTGTATATAAATAGGTCTTCAAGGTTGAGACCTCAAGAAAACATAGCAGTAGTTCAGTTTACTGGAACATGGATAATGGAGTTACATGATTCAGCAATTCCTTCATTTTACACTTGGGACACTTGGGAAGATGAAATTGAAGTGTAATTTACCAAAGATATCATTTAAAATAACAGACTGAGGACTAGAACTTCAAGTCTGAAGTAAAGGCTTTTGATACATTTAAATTTTACATGGATAAGAGGCTTCCAGAGACTTTCTGAATCACCGCCAGGGAACTACATTTTCATCATTCTCACTGCCCTAACTATAACCTTCTGTTACCTGAGTCTGAGCTTTAGGATGGGATAGCATTAGACATGGTTTATTGGAAAAATCACTAAACTAAAGGCCTGAGACACAGTAGTAGAGTGCAATGTAGCTAAAGCACTGAGAGCACATGGGAGAGTAGAAGAACACGGGCAGGAAGGAGGCACCACAGTTTGCTGTCCTTGCTAAAAAACTTTGGATTCTGTTTTAGTGAAATGAAAAGACATGAAAGATTTGGGGCAGAGAAATGACACAATTTAAAAAAAAAAAAAAAAAAAAAAATCCTGTATTTATTTATTTGGTACAGGGTCTTGCTATGCAATTCACATTTGTAGTGATTCTCCTGTCTTAGCTTCCCTAGCCCTGGGATTACAGGTGTGTACCACCATGCCTAGTTTCAGCGGCCAGCACAGCACATAGTACCAGGGATCGAATCTGGGTCCTTGTGCTTGCCAGACAGGTGCTTAGGCTGCTGAGCTATCTCCCTAGCCCCAGCATGAATTAACTTTTTATTTTAAAAAGATTATTATGGGGAAAAAATACCATTTCCTGCTGTGTTGAAAGCATTCTGTGAAGAGACAAAAATGAAACAAAGACTGGAAGTGGGGTTATATGAGAACTTTGTACTTTCTGTTGAAGTCTATTGTGAGCCTAAAACTGCTCTAAAAAATGAAGTTTATTATATCATTCAGAATCTATTTTAATGGGGCTGGGGATATAGCTCAGTGATACAGTGCCTACCTGGCAAGTGCGAGGTCATGAACCAACAACAACAAAAAGAATCTAATACTCCAGAAAGAATAAAATGGTACATTGGTCCAGGGCACTGGTGGCAGTGATAAGGAGGAAAAATGGCATGTCTTCAAGGTAGAATCAATAGGATTTGCACGATGGATCAGTTACTGACATAGACAAGAAAAGAGTAGTAAAAAATTACTGGATCTTTTAATTCAACAATCAAAAGAAAGGACTAATAGAAGACTAAGCAGTGACATTTGGGAATCATTGGTAGAAACTGTATATTTGCTTTTGGAGATGTGAAACTCAAGGTCACTGTCACACAACCACCTCTGTGTTACATAGTGCATATGTGGAACAGGCCATGGGATGAATTTAGGAACAGTAACTTGTTTTTTGTTTTTGGTTTTTTTTTTGCGGAACCAGGGATTGAACTCAGGCCCTTGTGCTTGCCAGGCAAACGCTTATTCCACTGAGCCATCTCCCTGGCCCTAGGAATAGTAACTTGTTTCTAAAGTTCTTGAGGCCAGCACTTCCACTTGTGGACACGATGGAGTAATGGGCTGATTAAAGTACTACCTTAAACAAACCACATAAAGTGTGTAAAAAGCATGGTTTTCAGAGACTAGACAACTGCACAGAATAGCAGTAAGAAGAAGCCAATTAGGGAAGTTTCTAGCACAAGAACTATTTCTTAACTAATAGGATTGGTTCATAAAGAACCACTCAAAGAGTTATGCTTAGAAATAAAACTGAAGTATACTTATGAAGTCCATGTTCTTTAGGAAATCATATTTATATTATGAAAACACATGGTATTGGTGACATTTACTTGAATTATAAACTGCTTTTTGAAACGGTGATCCTGATATATTCTGATTTATATATTCACTGTGAATGTTTTCACCAAATGTTTACCTACGTAACAGTCTATTCATACTTTCAGACATGATTTTGTTTTCTGGGGGGCATCTCAGCCTGCCGTGAGAGCAGGGCTGGTGCAGCATGTGGTGTCGGGGATCAAACCATGGTCCCCTGTGCCTGCCTAAGCAGGTGCTTTAGACCACTGAGTTATCTTGCCAGCCCCTCATACATGATTTTTAAGGTGTTTGTTTAGCAAATTTTCAAGCCTGGGATCTTAAAGGTTCCCCACCAACTTATGTGTTGAAGGTTGGCCCCAGGTGATGACTATGAGGTGGCAGAACCTTTAGGAGGTGCTGTAGGAGGTATAGCATTGGGGGAGGTCCTTGAAGGGTGTCTAAGGCTCCCTGACCTTCCTATACCCAGCTGTCACAAGGTGAGCAGCTATGCTCTGCTACATGCGCTGCACCCCAGTGCTCTGCCTTGCAACAGGTCCAAACAGCCATGGGCTGAAACCATGAGTCAAAATAAATCTTTCCCCTTTTCAGCCATTTGTCTCAGGTTTTGTCACAGCCCTCCTTGTTAAAAAGGAGAATGCAAATGGAAAGTAAATTGAAAGAGGCGGGTATTGGACAAATGATGGGCAGAAAAGGAGAAAAAAAAAAGTAGATTTTAAGCAAACTTGGTGCCTGCCCAGGATGACTTAACAACAGCCCAGCTAGTACTATACTAACTAGCCCAGTCTCTAAGACAGCCAGTGTATAAAAGGAAAAATACAAGTTTTCGAAGAATGAAGCGAAGTTTATTCATCACATTTTGTTTAAGGGGGAAAACAAGAGCTTACAGTGGTAATCTATTATTATTTCTTAATTATGAGTATGTATAATTTCCCAAGTGTATTCATGAAAGAAACAAATGTCATTATAAAGTTTCCCCCTGAAATATCAAAGTTTTCTAGAAACTGTGGGAGTGTGTGAGCTTTTGCAAATATAAAAAAGAAAACTGGCATCAATGTCTTGAGCTGATCACTTGAATTAGGGCTTTGGCCTCAGATTTATAGTTAATCTAAGAGAAACTGGGACTTTCACTTTCACCTATTTATAGCTCTCAAGTCATGTCCAGTATACTTTTTATTCCTTATTTCCAGCTCAAACAAAGTTTTTTTTCTAGACATAACTATGGTTTATTGACATGGTTTTTATGTTCTATAGTCATGCTTTAAAACCAAAGCAGTGTTAGTACTTACAATTTCACATTCCTTACACGTATGCCCAAGCAATTTCCTTCTCTCTTCTTTTTTCCGAACCACCTCAATATGAGGAAAATTCCGTAGGCTAGTCTCTCTGGTTGGGGCGGGGGGGAGGAGAAGAATTTAAAAATTAACTTACTTGCTATTACAAAGATCAAGTAGGTTGATTTGAATTAACAAAGGCAAGAGCTCAGGAGAAATAATCCTGAAACATTTATTATTTATTTTAAGATGCTTAGTCAGTATATTAGAAAAATATGTCTCCAAATATTAAATGCCTGTTATATCCAAACAAAATTTTCATGCATGTTCGTGTATACATGTGGTATAATTATAATCAAGAAAAAATAATGCTTCAGGTTTTCTAGTACTAAGAACCCAGATATCAGGGCTCACTTTCCTGTTCAAAGAACAGGTTCATCTGTTTGTGTGTTATTTGTTATTTTGTGTAAAGCAGAGACTGCCTTTTACTGCCTTATGCATCCTGAGTTCTTCAAAGTACGGGCACAATTATTATTTATACTTCTCTTTAAACGCATCAGACTGTGAACCACAGAAACTTGCCTGGGAAGTCAAGGCCACTGGGTTAATGTGTTCTGAAGTAGTTTGTGCAGAAAAGACACACAGAAGCGAAAAATATTAAAAAATGAATATACTTATATCTGGCTTTAAAAAGCCTACATAGGACACAGTTCAGTGGCACAGTGCATGCCTGCAAGTCCAAGGTCCTGAGTTGGATTCCCGGTTAAAAGAAAAAAAAAAAAAAAGCCTACATACGTAAACTTGTAAGATACATAAATGAATAGTCACATATATGGTTTTTTTTTTCCCCACCAAACATTCCCAATGAGTGCTGGGCATGTAGCACTCAGTAATGCTGGGCATGGTGGCACTAGCACTGAGTGCGAGTAATCCTAGCACTCAGAAGGCTGAGGCAGGAGGACTGCCCCAAGTCTTAAGCCAGCCTGGGCTACATGAGTTAAAGACCAGCCCGAACTCCATAATGAGACCCTGTCTCACCTCTCTCCAAACACTCTTTCTCCCAATTCCCAGTGAGATTAAATAGCCTGACTCACAAAATCTAACTTTTATGTTTTTAATGTATTTGGTACAGGATCTACAGGGTCTCACTACAGATTGGACTCATAGTGATCCTCCTGTTTTCAGCTTCCCAAGTGTCAGAATTACAGGCACACACCACCTGCTCAGTCTCATTTGCTGTCTCAGCATGCCTCAGGGGTGGGGCATGCTGGAGATCGAACCTTGGTCCTTGGGCCTACCTAAGCAAGTGCTTTACTCCGCTGAACTATCTGGCCAACCCACAAAATCTAACTTTTAGAATGACTTGTTTATAATATACCTACATCTTTGAGATACTTGGATCATATTCCCCTCTACTTGGCAAGGACATTCTTTCACAAGTTTCAAATGCTCTACTTCCGAGTATATGAACTTACATTTTAACCCAAGAATTCAATTCTGGAGCAATCTGTAAATTTAAAAATGGAGATACTAAAAAAGAATGGATAAAAATATACTGCCAAACTATATTTTTTTCCCAGATAGTTTATGGAATCCTAAGCTTTTGCAGAATACATTTTGGCTATCTCCTTTTCTCTGAATATTATCCATTCTATTTCTGAAGTATACTACAATTTAGTAGGAAATCTACTAGTAGACTGGGATCCACAGCAGACCTTCCACAATGTGTAACCTAAAAGGCTAGGAAGCTTCTTGTTCTGGTTGCTACAATTCTTAGTTTGGAAAAGCAATTAAGTTACTTTACCTCTAATATGAACTATTTGAGGTGACAGCTCTTAATCTGCAATTTTACTTCTCGAAATATATCCCCTGCAGAGTGCTTGCCTGGCATGCACTCTGGAGTTCGACTCTAGTACCGCGCACACACACACACACACACACACACACACACAAACACACACACACGAGAGAAACAAGAAATAATTCTCAAAGATGCAGAAGCAAAATTATGAAAAGAGAAAGTACAGACTAGTCACTGCAGCACTTCACATGCTGGCCCAACCAAAACAACCAAAGCGTCCAGTGCTAGGAGATAACGACAGTGTGATCACGTAATGAAGTACTATGCAGCTAAAGAAAATAATATTGTATACAATCAGTGAAAAGCAAAATATTTTATGCTTTTTTTCCTTCATGACACTGACAAAATGAGTTACTCAGTAACTTACAAATCTTTCAGTAATGTGTGGGATCTTATCTGAAAGTAACAGAATTTTGGATATTTGTATTGAAGGAAGAAAGCACTGTGGTTTGAAATTAAGATGTTTAACAGGCTTTTGTTTTAAAAATTTAAGTAATTCTGAAGTTGGACAACATCAGATTCAACACCTAAAGTCTTATAAGCTAGAGAATATAATTTAATTCCCAAAGTTCAAAATAAAGTACAATAAAAAATTTTCTGCTTGTAGACAGGAGAAAGCATTGTCAGTCTCTCTTCTGACTGCCATCATGCCTAAGTCAGAGTCTCCCAAGGAGCCCAAACAGCTAGCAAGCTCTTCATCAGAGGGCTGAGCTTTGAAACAACTGAGGAGTCTGAGGAGCCATTTTGAGCAATGGGGAAACTTACAGACTGCATGGTAATGAGACCCGAACACCAAGCGTTCCAGGGGCTTTGGGTTTGTCACTTATGCCACTGTGGAGGAGGTGGATGCAGCCATGAATGCAAGACCACACAAAGTAAACTGAAGAGTGGTGGAACCAAAGAGAGCCGTCTCAAGAGAAGATTCTCAAAGACCAGGTGCTTACTTAACAGTGAAGATCTTGGTTGGTGGCATTAAAGAAGATACTGGAGAATATCACCTATGAGATCATTTTGAACAATATGGAAAAATCGAGGTGACTGAAACTATAACCGACCAAGGCAGTGGACAGACGGGCTTTGCTTTTGTAATCTTTGATGACCATGATTCTGTGGATAACATTGTCATTCAAAAATACCACACTGTGAACGACCACAACTGTGAAGTGAGGAAAACTCTGTTGAAGCAGAAGATGGTTAGTGCTTCATCTAGCCAAAGAGGTCAAAGTGGTTCTGGAAACTTTGGTGGTGGTCATAGAGGTGGTTTTGGTGGTAATGACAGCTTCTGTTGTGGAGGAAACTTCAGTGGTTGGGGTAGCTTTGGTGATAGTCATGGTGGGGGTGGATATGGTGGCAGTGGAGACGGCTACAATGGATTTGGTAATGATAGAAGCAATTATGGAGGTGGTAGAAGCTATAATGAATTTGGCAATCACAACAGTCAGTCTTCAAATTTTGGACCCACGAAGGGAGGAAACTTTGGAGACAGAAGCTCTGGGCCCTCTGGTGCTGGAGGCCAGTATTTTTTTTTTTTTTTTTTTTTTTTGCAGAACCGGGGACTGAGCTCAGGCCCTTGTGCTTGCCGGGGAAGCACTTATTCCAATGAGTCATCTCCCCAGCCCCTAAATATAAATACACACACACACACACACACACACATTTTTTTTTTTTTTTTTTTTTTTTGGTGGAACCAGGGATTGAATTCAGTCCCTTGCACTAGACAGGCAAGCGCTTATTTTACTGAGCCAACTCCCCAGCCCCCGGAGGCCTGTATTTTACCAAACCAAGGTAGCTATGGTGACTCCAGCAGCAGCAGTAGCTATGGCAGTGGCAGAAGGTTTTAAACATTTCCAGGAAACAAAGCTTAGCAGGAGAGGAGAGGCAGAAAAGTGACATGGAAGCTACAGGTTACAACAGATTTGTGAACTCAGCCAAGCACAGTGGTGGCAGGGCCTAGCTGCTACAAAGAAGACATGTTTTAGACAATACTCATACATATGGGCAAAAAAAATGAGAACTGCATTTGTGACTAACTGTACCAGGTTATTTTAGTTTCTGTTCTGTGGAAACTGTAAAGCATTCCAAAAAAGGGTTTTAATGTAGACCTTTTTTTTTGTACCCATGCTGTTGATTGCTAAATGTAATAGTCTGATCATGACGCTGAATAAATGTCTTTTAAAAAAAAGAATAAAAATACAGTATTTGCTATCATCTAAGATAGCAGAAAAACTATTCTTAGAATCTAAAAAGTGTTGTTGGTAAAAATGCCCTTCTCTGTACAATCTGTCACCTTTATTCTTGAGTTCTTTTACGACTATGAACAAAGTAATCCATTATATTCTAATCAAAATAGTGATTTAATAGCTTGGAGATACTGAGACAAAGACAGCTCTGTTGTAATTTAAATCACATTGCTGGTATTAAGACCCACTTACCTCTCATTACCTTTAAAATATGGCTCTACAAATGCTTTCTGCTTGACTTTATCTTGTTTATCATTATGTACTGTAAATAAAACAAGAATTTCACAAACTGAGTGTAGAATTTAATGAGAAATAATTAGCTTGTTTGGGAAAAAATATAACATGCACCAAAACCTTTTTAATTTATTCTATTCAATGAAAATTACAGTACTCTGAAAAAAGAGATAGTAAAGGATTTCAGAAAATGGAAAGATATTCCCTGCTCTTAGAGAGGAAAAACCAACATTGTAAAGATGGCCATACTCCCAAAATTGCTGTACAGATTTAACGCAACCCCTATCAAACTACCACCAACTTACCTCACAGACTTAGAAAAATCGTTCCTAAAATTTATTTGGAACCAGAAAAGACCTAGAATAGTAAGGCAATCCTGGGCAACAAAGACAAGGCAGGAGGCATTACCATTCCTGACTTGAAATTATACTACAAAGCTACTGTGATAAAATCAAGCATGGTATTGGAAACAAAATGGACCTGAGGATCAATGGAATAGATTAGAAGATGCAAAAGCTTCTACGAACACACGCAACCACCTTATCTTAGACAAAGGGGCCAAACATGTTTATTGGAAGAAAGACAGCCTCTTTAACAAATGATGCTGGAAAAACTGGCTCTCTACATGCCAAAAACTAAAACTTGATCCAGGTCTATCACCATGCACTAAGCTAAAGTCAAAATGGATTAAAGATCTAAACATTAAAACAGAAACACTAAATCTCCTGGAACAGAAAGGAGGAGAAGCTCTTGAAGACATAAGGGTAGGCAAAGAAAGAGTTCATGAACAAAAATCAAATTGCATGGGTAATACTGGAAAGAATTAACAACTGGGACCTCCTCTTATTGAGAAGTTTTTGCATGTCAAAAGAAATTACCAACAAAGTGAAAAGACACCCACAAATTTGGAAAAAAAAATCTTAAGCACTCAGACAAAGGTCTGGTCTCTAGAACTAAAAACAATTAGGGCCCCAAACTTTAAAGATCCAATCCAGAAATGAGCATCTGAGATGAACACACACTTCTCAGAGGATGAAATTAAAGAAGTGAATAAATATATAAAAAAATACTCCACATCACTAGCCACCCGTGAAATGCAAATTAAAACAACACTGAAATACCATCTCACCCCAGAAAGAATGGCTATCATAAAGAAATCACCCAACAACAAATGTTGGACAGGCTGTAGGGAAAAAGGAACCCACTGCTGGTGGGAATGTAGACTGGTGCAATCATTATGGAAATCAGTGTGGAGACTCCTTAAAAAACTAGGACTGGAAATCCTATTCAAACCAGCTATTCCTCTACTGGGAATTTTCCCGGAGGCACTGAAAATGTCATATCATAGTGATATGTATGTACCTATGTTTATAGCAGCACAATTTGTGACAGCCAAATCTTGGAAACAACCAAGATGCCCGTCACCAGAGGTATGGATGAAAAAGATGTGGTATTTTTATACAATGGAATATTACTCAGCTATAAAGGATGATGAACTTGAAGCCTTCATATTTAAGTGGATGCCACTTGAAGATATACTCATAAGTGAAATAAACCAGACTCACATGTGTAAATATTGTATAGTCTCCCTAGTATAAGAACTGAAAAGAAATAAAAATAGAAAGATATAGCATAATTAAAAGGAAAGCAAGAACTTGAGTATTAGACAACAAAGAGAGGGCAAGAAAAAAAGCTAGGAAACATGACAGGGGCAAAGCCATACATTTATATGTACAAGATGGGTAAGGCAAAGATCCTGAGAATCTTCAGCAGGTTTTCAAAACTAGCAGTTAGTTGGTAGGTCTCTCACCCTGACTAACTATATATGCTGATACCTGTGAACTAAGCAACTGCACTGAAGATAGCAATGTATAACAGTAGGGTCACGCTTGGAATACCTGCCATTTTAGTCTTCTAAATATGTACTGCTTGTCATGACATACCAATTACTGCCATACTATCTTTCAAGTAAATGATTAAAAACAAAGGGCAATAAATGAAAACAAGAGACAAGAAAAAAAATGTCATAGGACTATCCTGCTACAATGCTGTATATAGTTAGATTTCTAAACTTCTGTGTAAAAATATGTAACTGTTTATTCCTACCTTTAAAATTTTTTTTATTTTTAAAATTTTTTTCTTCATATTGTGTAGGGACTTAAAGGTTAACATCTCAATACTTGATGGAAAATACCTGTTCCATGTTATGCCCAAGATGTTTCATATTCAGACAGATAGTGAGGTCATGCTCAACTGCCTATGTTGTAAGGTAATAACAATAAGCTTCTCTTCTGGAGGGTTAACAATCTAAGTTTGCAGACCCAAAATTGGAGAAAAAGAAGGGCTACAAGGACAGCCAACATTTTGGCCCTCGCCTTTAAAGGTCAGTGAAGACTCAGGACACAGGAGAACCTGTACTGTGACATCATGTAACTCAGCTGTGTCCCAAATTTTCTGATCAAGGAGATTATGGGGCCACAGAGGAAAGTGATTGATGCTGTAGAGTGCCTAAGGAGTCACATGGAGAGAAAACATTCTCTCAGGCTTTCACAGACAGCAAATTGGTCAAGCAATGGCTGTGACTCATCCACATGGCTGACACTGGATCTACAAACTGCAGTACAGGGTTTCAGGATAAATCCTGCAGGGATTTAACTGACCTTATCAGATACAAAAACTACATTTCTTGTTATATAGGTCTTGCTTTATCTTGGTCTTAACAATTGACTAGAAAAGTATAAAAACGAGGTATAAAAAGTAAATTCATATTAATATGCTGAACTGTAAAAGGCTCAAGTTAACAACTTCTAACACTGCTAGTCATACGGAAAAGCCACTACTATTATGGACTACTGGAGACTATATTGGAATATTTTGCTGAATTCACACACCTATAATATTTAAATGAGAATGGAATACCCTTCTCTGACAAAACTAAAGGGGATACAAATGAATGACCATTTTGTATCTGTATATTCAAAATAGTTAGGATAGTTATACAGCTACATTCTCTTAATTCAATGAATAGAAAGATTTGTTCTAATAGTGTTTGTAGACAGGATATCATGTCTGCATCTTGTACAATGAATGACCACTAAGACAACAATATGCCATATATCAATTTTTGAAACTATCTTACTAATTGGTTTTGAAACTGTCTCATTGCTATTTGTTTCTCAATAAAATTATTTTTAAAAAATGAAATTATTTCAAAATAAATAATGAAGAAATTTATACAAACCCCATAACACTTTGCTAATAAACCTGTGTTACTTACCCTGATATCTTAAGTAGCTGAATTCAGCATGAGGGAGAAGGCACAACTAAAGAGAAAAAAGTCTTACCAATTGGTTCCCTTATGGCAGCAGATAATTCCTTCAATTCATTTACCACCTGAGGGAAACTGTCTGCCAAACAAGATTCGTATTCTTCCTGTGTTGTCCGATCAAACATATCTTCCAAGGTATCATTCATCTTTCTTTCTCTATCTATATAAAAAACATCAGCATAGAATAAAATGTAAGATTTCTGTTTTCTGTGTAGACTAATATGAAACTATAGCAACTGCCAAAAAATAATGCAATGATGTCTTTTAAAACACTTCAACATAGTCTTACATATGGGGTACAGGTTTTACTTTGAAGGGTGAATACATGTAGTAAGTCTTTTTAGACATGTGTAAAAGATGATGTCAGTTGTATCCAGGAATGGTGGCAGTCCCACAACCAAAGCACCCTTGGAGGCTAAGACAGGAGGTTCACAAGATCAAGCACAGCCTGGTAACTTAGCACCTTGGTGAGACCCTGGCCTACAAAAAAAAAAAAAAAAAAAAAAAAAGGAGAGAAAGACAAAAAGCCTGGAGTATAGTTCAGTGCGAAGGTCGTAAGTTCAATTCCAGTAGTACCAGCACCCTCCCTCCAAAAAAAATCAGTTGGAAGCTGTCTTGTTAAAGCTTATTAAAGGGCCGGTGAGATGGCTCAGTGGAATAAGAGCTTCCCTGGCAAGTGCAAGGGCCTGAGTTCAATCCCCGGTTCTGCCAAAAAACAACAACAACAACAAAAAGCTTATTAAAGAGTACTAATGCAGTGAATGCAAAAGGGTAAAAACCTATAATATATGCGGTAAAGTGTTTAAAAATTCTTTAAAATATAAAAGCTTAGCTGTGAAGAGTTTACTTTCAATGAGTACATTTAAGACAACAATATGCCATATATCAATTATTGAAACTATCTTACTAATTGGTTTTGAAACATGTTAGAAAAGATGATTCTGAAAAATATGTATTAGTTGTAAGTTATACGTATTAACTCTGTACTCAACAAACTGTAATGTATGTAACGAAGTAATACAATTCTTGAGTCATGGTTTTTAAAACAAGGTTTAATTCTTACAACTTGTACATGAGGCAAGAATAATTTTGGAAAATGATGTTAAGACTTTAACTGTTCTTTATTCACATGAAGACAATGCTTAATGTTTATGACTATAACTAAACTCCTTATAAACAGCAAGATTTTTTCCTATCAGCTTTTGTATAATTCATATAAACCAAAAGAAGTCTTAACAAAGAATCTGTGAGGAAATGAAAATATAATAAACAATGACAAATGCAAAATTAAACAAAAAGTGGACATTAAAATGTCTAGACTAGGTACCAAAAAAAAAGTCTAGGGGACAATCCGCTCGGCCCCCATCCTGTCCCTCTCTCAGACAGAAGCTTTCTTTACCTCAATAAATATATTCTGCTCATAAAAAAAAAAGTCTAGCATTTTATTTGTTTTATTTTTCTGAAGAAGTAAAAAGTTTTTCTTGCATTATTATTAGCACCTGGTTGTTTAAAAGAAAAAATTGAATTCAATGACCTATTTGATGTTTGAAAGTGCTAAACTTGTCTTACTTCTTCTTCTGTATTTAGTACTGGGTCTACAGGGTCTTGCTACGTAGATTGGACTTGTAGTGATTCTCCTGATTGCAGCCTCCCAAGCACTGAGATTATAGGTGTGTACCATCACGCCCAGTCAGAAACAAGTTGAGATGGCTAACAAAGAGATCATTTAGTGGCCAGAGAAGATTACTGTCAAGTAACTGCCACCTCTCCCAATCCAGGGAAAAAAAATCATAATACAAAAATTGCACTTTTTAGAAACTGCAGCTTTAGAATACAAAACTAATGCTTTTTTTCCTTCCAGGAAACTTACTCCAAAAAATTTCCAAGGGTCTCAAAGATAAAACAAGCTCAACTTATAGATACAAAAATACCTCACTTTCCTATATTTTAATGGACTTTTCTCATACTCTTGGTTAACTCAGAAACTCAAGAGAGCTATGGCCAGGATCGAGGCCTGAGGGAGCCCTGGCAGGTAACACCAGGGTCTTTCAGATGCTATGCAAGGCCTCCACCACTGATCTACATCCTTGATCCTTTTTTACTTTTTGCTTTGTGGTAAGTCTTGCTAAGCTGCCCAGGCTGGCCTCAAACTTGTGATTTTTCCCCCCTCCATGTTAGCCTCTTAAGTAGCTGAGAAACACTATGCCTAGCTTCTAGAAAACATTTTTAAATTTAAATATTAGCAATAATTAAAAGTCTTCATTGGTGTATTTCACTTTAACCAATACTAAGTGTGGAAAAGTTTTTACTGTATGGGGCAATTTTTTTTTTCCTTCCCAAAACAAGGCCCCAATAATGTCTATCCCATACATGCTTTTTCAATATGATATTGACAGCCATGTGCTTCATCATATCTAAAAGCTAAAGATATAAGGCAAAGGGTATCAGAATTTTCTCACTGATTTAGAAGAAGCCAGGTGAGACTGGCTGATTTTTGAACCCTAAGTATGGAGACTACAGAGAACTGAACACATGCAATGGATGTCTATTATGAGTGTATCCAGCTACTACCGTATGACTGCTAACAAATGCCTCTATTGTAGAGGCTGGTCTCAAACTTATGGTGATCCTCCTGTCTCAGCATCCCCAGTGCTGGGATTACAGGCATGTACTGCCATGCCCTGCTTCACACTTTTATTACAAGTTTGAAAAAGCAAATCTTACTTGGACTTCTTTCTCCTTTTTGCTCTTGTTTCTTCACCTTTAAAAGCAAAGTTTCACTGACCAATGTACAGTCCATGTCTACTGTCTCTCCTCCTACTCTTGACTGACTGTCATCCTAAAATCCAAAATTTGAATAATTATTTCTTTCTGGCCTTATGTTTATAGTTTTTACCAAAAATTTTGGTAAAATACACAGAAATTTTCTTCTTTTAAGCATTAAATTATGTATTATTTTATACTTTGCAATCAGAGATTCAGGTTTTATGGACTATAAAACATACCATATTAACATGCAAGTATCCCAGCCTAGGAAAAGGGAGACTCCTGTCAATGGAAAGGAGACCCACATACCACAGAAAGCCCTTCAGCTCATCCTGAATCTTTCCCAGTCTGCTTCAGAGTAAGACCAATAATGTACAATATAATGCTTTCAGTAATCAAATTTCATTTTTTTCTCTTTTTTCCCTTTGAGACAAGGTCTCACTATGTAGTACAGGCTGGCCTCAAACTTGTTATGTAGCCCAAGATGGCCTTAAACTGACAGCAATCCTTCTGTCTCACGCTCCTGAAGGCTAGGATTATAAGCATATACTACCACACCCAACTTAATTTGGTTATTTGATGGCATACAGTTAAATACTTCAGCAACTGTTAAATACATTAATGTGCCACCAAGTGAAAGAGAACTTCTCAAGCTATAGACCTTAAATTTAAAGCAAAAAGTATCTCTACTATAACTTTTCTTTTTAAAAAAATACAGTTCCTAAAAAATTAGTAAATAGGGAAAATAATTTTTTTTCTCCATGAGACATTACTATAAAGCTAATCACAGCAGTAGGATTATTTTATAAAAATGACTTAAAAACATAATTAGAAGTTTGCATTATTTTAGGAAATTATGTGAATGCTTTTTAGTAAAGCAAAAAATACTTTAAAGGCAGAAAGTATTATCTTTTCAAAAATGCCATAAGGTTTGATGAACAAGAATCTGTTTCTTTGTTTTCTGAATACATAAATGTATGACTTAAAAAGTATCTGAATAGGGCTGAGGATATAGCTCAGTGGCATAAAGTTCCTGCTTGGCAAGTGCCAAGGTCCCAAGTTTGGTCCCTGGTACTACAAGTATCTGAATGAAGGTCACAGAGTAGATCAGGAGAGAAGGTTCAAATTGGTTTTGGCTTTATTATTTACTTTACCTTTGTGTCTATTACAGTAATATCCATTTTATACTGAGAAAGGTCTGCTCCTGGATCTACACTCCACTGGATATTTTCAAAGGATGCATCTTAGGTAAGGAAAAAATATGCAATTAAAAATAGATGTTGAAAATTCTCATCATTTAAAAATGTTAGGAGACCTACAGAATGGGAGAAATTTTTTGCTAATCATATGTCTGATAAAAGACTTGTATCTAGGAGATAGAAGAGTTCTCACAATACAAAAATATACATTTTCTAAATGAAAAATTAAAAAAACAAAAAAAAAAGAAAAATAAAAGGTGCTAAATAGCCAATAAGCATATAAAAAAGATACTTAACATAATTTGCCCTCAGAAAAATGAAAAATCCCTTAAAATATTTGTAATTTGAACTAATTTTGAACAAAGTCAGCCTGAATTAATAATTCAAACTACAAAAAAAAAAAAAAAAAGAAAAGAAAAACCATAATGAAATACTGTATCAAAGATAGCTAACATCAAGATGAAAAATAACAAGGGCTAGCCAAGTTGTGGAGAAATTGCAGGCCATAAGCAAGGCTGGTGGGAATGTAAAATGGTACACAGCTACTTTGGAAAATAGGCAGCCCCCAAAAGTTTAAACACAGCGCCAGCACAGGGTCCAGCAATTCTATTCTCTATAAAGAAAAAAGTGAAAACATATACTTACATAAAAATGTTCAGAGCAGTATTATTCACAATAGCAATAAGTAGGAACAACTAAATTTCTATTCACTGATGAAAAATGTGGTATACAATGTTACTCAACAGTAAAAAGGAATAAAGAAATATCAATATATGCTATGATATGAATGATAATGAAAGACATTATACTGAGTGAAAGAGTTGAATCACAAAAGATTATATACTAAAGTATTCCATTTATATCAAACCTCTAGAACAGCTTAGGTATGGAGACAAAATAAAATAAAATAAAATAAAATAAAAACAGATTAGTGCTGCCTAGGACTGAGGAGGGCGGTCAGTGCAGGGTGGGGCCTGCTCCAATCTTACAACTACAGAGATGGTTGGAAAAACTGTGAATTTACCAAAACTGATGGATTGGAAACTGTAATGGTGGATTTTTACGGGGCAATATACATTTCAACAAAGTATTTTTAAAATAGTAATAATATAACATTGCCTGAAAGGATTCCACATGTACTATATGTAAACATAAGACACATCAGATATTTGGAGTGTAGCTGTGGACATGAAGTATTATGATAGTAACTCTAGACAAACTGTGAGAAGTTAAATAAAGCATAGTATGACCCCTAAGGCAGTAAGGAAGAAATTAATAGAAGAAAAGAAAAAAAAATTGTAAAAAATTACAAGTGAAAATGTAAAAAATATTTTCATTCTGTAAGAACAAGTAAAGAATATACTTTGGGGGGAAAAAAAAAGCCCAGAATGAAAGAACTGACAATAAAGAAAAAAAGAAAAATACCACATGGGAATTACAGAGCAGCTGGGTGTGGTGGCACACACCTGTAATCCAGCACTTGGGAGGCTGAGACAAGAGGGTTGTTGTGAGTTCCAGTCAGGGCTATAAAGTGAGCTCAAGGCAGTCTGAACTGCACAGTGAGACCCTGTCTCAAAAAAAAAAAAAAAAAAAGAATTGCAGAAACGTTTGTTGGCTGAACAAAAATGGTTCTGTTAAAGCACATACAGTAATCAAAAGATTTATACATAACATATATAAGTCAGGGCAAATAATGTTTATATATATATACACAAATACATATCAAAGCAAATGTTTATAGGTAAGCTTAAAAACCTATATAAATAATGAATATATTCACATAGACATGTAAATGAAATAGAATAAATTACTTTTAAGGTGAGAAGGTTTGGATAATTATTTATTTTTAAAATTCTGCACAGCTTAAAATTTTAAAAGCTTCTGAAAAGGACAAAGAAAATCATAAACAAAAACATGCAAGGAAGAAATACTTAAAAATTTCCCAAACAATTTAATCTACCCAAAGTATGTAAATATCCAATTCAAAGTTACTAAAGAAGAGTAGAAATCTTATTTGTACGGTGCATACCTTGGTTGTTACTAGGCTTAGTTTTGGCAATTCTGCAAGGATTTAACTGAAGAACTGACGTGAGCTCACATCCTCCACGGACTGACCTGGGTTTTACTTTTGTTTGCTCATTAGAACCACCACCCTAGATAGAAATGATTATTAGCATCCAGATGAAATCATGAAAAGCGATTTTAATCAAAATCCTCAAATATTTAACACAAACCTTCATCTCATCAAAAAGATTCTCTGTCTCCAAAGTTCCATGTGGACGTGGAGGGATTTTGAAGATGGAATTTTCTTCTTTTATAGGTGACGCTGTCTGATTGTGTGGAGGGGATCTGCACAAAGACTGGTGGACACACTCCTGTAAACAGTGTTCCTCCGGGGAGTCTTTGGGCACCAGGCAGTTCCCATTCAAGGCCTTGTGGCTTGAGGAAGAGCTCTTTGGAATGGGCTTAAAAGCTTCGTAAAGAGTCACTTGCTTGAATCTGTGTTTGGAAGCCTCATTTCCTTGGCTTTTCTCTTGACGCTGAATAGCTGAAAACCGATCAGACAGATCCAGAGGTCTGTCCATGACGTGGTCCCCATTCATGGCAAGGTGACTATCCATTGGAAAAGGAAGAGAATTTTCTTTATCAAAGGAGGCTTGGGGGCAGCCTACTTCACGTTCACTTTCTTCCTCAGTTTTCTTCCTTTTGGATGTTCTGCCTCCCAGAGATTTCAGGGACACTATATGTTTATCAGTAACAGTGCCTTTAGTGCGATCAGTAATATCTTGTTCATTTATGGATTCACTTATATTTTTAAGAATCTGCTTGCTAGAAGAAGACTGGCTAGTGGCCTTGTTCACTTCGGATCCAAGGCTACGGTGTGTGAAAAGGGCACTATCTTTAGATTTTGATCTAGCTTTCTCTGACCTAGAAACAGAAGTGCTGCTGAAAGGGGTTGTTTTGGGATGGCTTTGTTTCCCAGTGTCTAAAAGAGAAGGGGACAAACTTGTATTGAAACCTAAACTACTTTTCACATTAGATGTAGGTACAAACACAGGAGATGAAAACACAGGAGATGACACCCGAGTGGTCAATTCTTCTTGAGATGGAGTCTCTGAAGTAGATTCGGAAAATCTAAAGAAAGAGTAAGACAACCTTTTTATTATTAAAACAATATGGTAAAAGTTAAAAGACAAGCACAATGGGAAAAGCTTTGCTTAACATAGAAACAGTGAGGTTTTATCTATCACAGACAGACGAATAAAAATTTAAGATAAGGATGACAGTCTCTTCTTTTGGGAAACAAAAAGCTGAGGAAAATGAAACAGGAAACATCTCAATACCTCAATATTTCTGTATAATTTTTTTCCTAAGTAATTTAAACTTCATTATATTAAAAAAATCAGTGAATTGTAAAAAAATTCTGGAGTTTTTCCCCCCAGTGTTTGGAATCAAACCAGGAATTGTGCTCAGTAAGCAAACAGTGTACCACTGGACTATTATCTTCAGCCCCAATTCTTAAATTACACAATCAAACTCGGCTGTCTCTAGTGAAGGAGAAAGCACACTAGGTTTAAGTGTGAGGAAGGGCTCACATTTCCTCCAGTGGGGAATAGTGAAGAGCTCAGGTCTAGTACTTAACCTCTAAGTGACTTTAATAAGACATTTACTCTTAGGGGCTGCACTTTTGTTATCTACAAAAGAAATTTAAAAAGGAGGGAGCACTAAACTCTACCTTTATGGATTACTATGATGACAGATGAAATTAGTAAAAAATCAATTTTACAATTTTTTTTTTTTTGGTGGAACCGGGGATTGAACTCAGGCCCTTGCGCTTGCCAGAGAAGCGCTTATTCCACTGAGCCGTCTCCCTGACCCCCCAATTTTACAATTTTAGAAATTTGTCTAGCTTACAGATGTCCATTGTATAACATGTAGGATTTGGCAACAAACATAGAAAGGATGGCTGTGCTTTAAATGGACAGAATAAGACTTGGAGCTCTTAAATAGTCTATGGCTTGGTGATGCACAAAAACAATTTAAAAATCATGCCTACTTCTCTACTATAATACAAAAGAGCTCATAAATCGGAGAGACATTATTTGAAATAAAAATATAGCCAGAATAACAAACTCTATGCTGAGGGAGAAAAAGCATTTAACAAAAGGGTTTCTTTTTTGTGAGACATGGTCTCACTGTGTAGTTCAAGCTTGCCTCAAACTTGGGACAATACTCCTACCTCAGGCTCCATAGTCCTAGGATTACAGGCATGCACCACCATGCTCAACAAAATGGGAGTGCAACAATAGCTACAGATTCTCACTGAAGTGCCCCAAATTACCTTAAACTATCGTTAGTATTTCTCATGGATTCCTCAAAAGGATGTTTCTTGTGATCTCCTTCCAGAGAATGGTACAGCTCATCACCAAGAGGGCTTATGGAATTTTGTGATTCCTTCAAAAGTAAAATATGAAGCACACTCACACAATGGAATATTACTCATTCTTGACAAGGTGGCAGTTGCATAATATTACAAATATACTAAATATCTCTAAAAGTACACTTCATTTTTGTAGTACTGAGTTCATTAACCAGGGTTTTCATACTCTAATTTTTAATTTTGAGACAAGGTCTTTCCAAGTTGCTTAAATTGCTTAGCCTAGGCTCAAACTTGCACTCCTTCTGCCTCAGTCTCCTAGAGTACATGGCGTTATAGGCTGGTATCACTATCCTTTCCTTGAGTGAGCTGCACACTTTACAATGCTTACTTTTATGTTACTTGAATTTCATCACAATAAAAATATGAACTATGGGCCGGGGAGATGTCTCAGTGGACTAAGTGCTTCCCTGGCAAGCACAAGGGCCTGAGTTCAATCCCCAGTTCCACTTAAAAAAAAAAAAAAAAAAAGAACTACATTAATGCCAGAAAATATTTATATGTAATTATATTCTATTACTGGTATATAAAACTGACTCCAAATACCATTATTAACAGGAGGAGGAGAGAACACTGACAAATTGAAAAAGCAGTGGTTTAGAAAATTAGAACAGTTCAGAAAGGAGCGCTTGACACAAGTCTCTTCAGGACCTTGTTACATGTGAATCCAGCAGGTGTGGCTGCTGTACCTCTAACAACTTCAAAAGCATCACAGGTGCTGCTGCCTATGACTCACACTACCCGCAGTATGGGCTCAGAGTTTAGCTCCCTTAACTCACCTGATGTCTAGATTGTTAAGACTTCCAAGTAGCAGGGGATTAGAAATCAATAAAATGCATTTAAAGTACAAAGTGAAAAACTACCCATTACCACCTGAGGATGGGTTTGTGTGTATGTGGTGTTGGGCCTTCAATCCAGGGGAGTTCTACCACAGGGTACATCCTTAGCCTTTAACATGTTTTCTTTTTTTTGAGACAGGGTCTCCTTATGTTGCCCAGACTGCCTCAAAATTGTAAGGCCTATCTCATTTCCTCAAGTAGCTAGGATGATAAGCATGTATCACCATACCTGTGAGGATGGATTTTAAAAGGATAGAAACCCAAATAAAAAAGCCAATTTTTAAAAATTCAGCAGTAGGACAACTTTATAAAAGCACATATACAGGTACTAGCTAAAGTGCAGGAATGCTATATTAAAATTGTGTCAAAACATAACTTATGGGGCCAGGGAGATGGCTCAGTGAATAAGCGCTTCCCCAGCAAGCGCAAGGGCCTGAGTTCAATCCCTGATTCCGCCAGAAATAAACAAATAGAATGACTGAAGTTTCTGCATTTTGTACAGCAAATAACTACTAGGAAGAGAATATGCAATGTGTTAATTATTGAAACTGTCCTACCAATTGGGTTTGAAACTGTTTCATTGCTCTTTGTTTCTCAATAAAATTGTAGAAAAAAACCCAAAACAAAACATAACTTAGGGTGGAAGCACCCAAGTTTTCTATTTCCTAGGGACCAATCATATGACAGGGCCAATGTGACACAGTTCCTAAGAAGTAGGTCAGTTACAGTTACACTGAGAATGTCCTCCAGAGGCTTCATGTACTCATAAATACCAGGGTGGGGTTAGAGCCAAGCTGCTGTCAGGAGGGGGTGGTGGAGGCTGAGCACAGGAAGGGTATTATCCCCAGCTCTGCTATTCCCTTCTCTCTCTGCTCCCTGGCCAAAAGAAATCCCTCCTCAAGCTTAAAAACCAAGTGGTATCTCTCGTTTAAGACAAAGTATAAAGAACAAAATAAAGGACTGGTGGAGAGAAGCAAGGAAACAGAACTTTTGCAAATGTGGAGCGGTGTAAGAGGCAGAGGGTGAGGCGGGGAAGAAGCAAGATTTTCAAATGTCTCACGTACATGTACTAAATACCACTAACATAAACATCTGTCATAAACATGAACCAAAACCAGTAACAACAACAATAAAAAAGCAGATTCAGAGACAGAGTGGTAGGTGGGGGCAAATGAAAAGAATCAAGCTGTGTTACAAACACCTACGCACTCCATAAGATGAATGTACACTCCATGTGCTGCAAATGTACTAATAAAGCAAAACAACTGCCTAAGAACCTCTCCTGTAAGTTGCAGTTGTTGGGCATTTTGTACCATCAACAAGGAATGTAAGGAGGCTGTGGAGATAGCTCAGTGGTCTAAGAGCCTGCCTGGCAAGCACAAGGACCTGCATTATAACCTGGTGTGGTTATAATGCAGTACAGGGCCAGGCCCTGGAACCCAGGCACAGAACTTGCGCATGCCGTGCAGGTCACCACAAAAACGAGCATGGTGGTGCATATCTGTAATCCCAGTGCTGAGGAAGCTAAAACAGGAGGACCACTATGAGTCCAAACTGCTTAGGAAGACCCTGTATCAAATAAATAAATACACAAGATGAAAAAACAAAACAAAACAAAACGAAACAAAGAAATGTAAAGGTGAGGGCTCAGCTGAGTGGCAATGTGTGTGGATAGCATGCAAAGGCCCCAGATTCAATCTCCAGCACCAAAAACATAAAAGAAAGTAAGATGAAAAGGATTTAAGAAAGACAAAAACCTCAAAATGGTTTAACAAAAAACCCCTCAAATTTCAAAAATTCAACAGCAAGAAAACTTTATAGAACACATGTACATTTTAAACTTAAGCAAATGAATACTACTTTGAGATCGTGTCAAACCATGAATCTAAGATTGAAGGAGTTCTTTTCCTAGGGATTTAACTTACTTTTCTTGATGCTGAGACAAAACACCCAACACCCAAAGTTAGAGGAGGAAAGGTTTATTTGGCTCAATTTATAGGGCTTTCAGTCTATTAATTGGCTGGCCCCATGGAGGGTAGGTTGGCAGACAAGATAGCAAAAGCAGCAAGGGGGAGGAGACAAGACTCTGCCCCTTCCATTGTACTAGGCTACTGCCTAGGGCAGGTGTAGAACTCATCCTTAATCTCAGCTAGAACTATGCCAAACCAATCAGTGGACTGATTTACTAATCACACACATTTAATCCCAGCATCACAGTCTAGATTCAGCCACCTCTGAAAAGGCCCTATGACCATATGAGGCTCTGTGGGGAACATCTAGACACAAATCATAACAGGACTTATCAAGACAAAACAAAACAGCAAACATATGGATGTAATGAAAATATGATGGGGCTACTCTGATTCAGGCCTCATGGATTAGGTTTAACTGAATCAGCAGTTCTTGATAGTAGCAAGAATTCAACCTGTTTACACACCAAATTTCCCTTTTGTGGATGCCAAAAAAGACTCAACACATTCTGAAATCAATCTGAAGGTTGGGGCCAGGGAGATGGCTCAGTAGAATAAGCGCTTGCCTGGCAAGTGTAAGGGCCTGAGTTCAATCCCTGGTTCCGCCGAAAATAAAATAAAATAATTAAATCACCCAATGATGCACTTTTGGGGCCGGGGAGATGGCTCAGTAGGATAAGCGCTTGACTGGCCAACGCAAGGATTTGAGTTCAATACCTGGTTCCGCAAAAAAAAAAACAAAAAAAAAAAAACTGAAGGTTTAGGTTTTCTCTTAGATAGAATGAGAGTGGATAGGGAGAAGAAGACAGGAAGGGGACCTGGGAGATAGCTCAGTGGAATAAGTGCTTGCTTACCTGGCAAGTGCAAGGTCCTGAGTTTGACCCCCAGCATCACCAAAAAAAAAGAACACAGGAGGAAGGAGAGAGGACTGGCACAATAAACCCACTATGACACAATTCTTCCCCTGCAATTCCAACTCAGTCTCATGTCCCAAGGATTCTCTCACTTTTTTTCTTTTTGTATTTTAGGACAGGGTCTACAGGGTCTCACTATGTAGATCGTACACATAACAAGAGCCTTTTAAACAGTTTTATTCTTTATTAAATAATCATTGGATAAAAAATTATTTTCTTGCTCAATTACTTAAGAATGGCTCTAAATGGACATATCAATTAATATGTTCATCAAAATATTACTTACACTTTCCTCTTCAACACCAAGTCCAAGTGTTTCAGCAACAACTGTAGCTAAGTTAAAAGATGACTTATCAGTGGGACAACTGCTTATTCCACATATTTCTAAAAAAGAAAAACAAAAAAAATTATAAATTACATGTACAAAATTATATGTAGAAAAGTTAGGGGCTGGTGAGATGGCTCAGTGGCCTAAAGCACCTACTTAGAACAAGCTTAGCAAAGCACAGGGACCACGGTTCAATCCCCCAGTACCACATGCCAGCCAGCCCCGCCCCCTGGTGGGCTGAGGGGGCCACACACACACGCACACACACACGCACACACATAAATAAAATTTTAAAAAAAAGTTAAATAAAAGAAAGGCAAAGCTCAAAGAACCAATATAAAATGGCACTGGACAAATTTCTGTAAACAATCTAAAATATCTATTGGAAATAGGAATAAGCTACAGGTATTTTATTTTATTTTTTTATATGTATTTAGGACAGGGTCTACAGGGTCTCACTACATAGATCCGACTCATAGTGATCCTCCCATTTTCACCCTCCCAAGTGCTGTGATTACAGGTGCACGCTACCACACCCAGTCACAATGGCAGTCTCAGCACGCCCCAGGGGGTGGGGCCAGCACTGCACCTTGGGGATGGAACCCTAGCAGCTGCACTCTGCCTAAGCAGGCACTCTGGTCTGCTGAGTTAAGTTTCCTATTTTTCCTAAATGAACTGAATCCAATAGGTACTATTAATTAGTTAATTAATTTGGTACAGGGTTTCACTTGCAGCTGGAGCTCATGGTAATTTTCCTGTTTTCAGCCTCCCCAACGCTGGGATTACAGGTGTGAGCTACCATACCTGGTTTCACTGATAGGCATGGCATGCGGTACTGGGGACTGAACTCCAGTCCCTGCATTTGCCTAAGCAGATGCTTACTCCACTGAGCTATCTCGCTGGCCCTTCCAATAGGTTATATTTTTATTGATACAAAATGAATTATAAAATGAATTTATAGCAAATTAAGGTATAAGAGAAATATTAAACCATATTTATAGTGTCTTTCATGAATATAGGGGAGGTGTTTTCAGAACTGTATTATTTTTAACTTTTAGGTAACATTTAAACAAGAATGACACATATGCAGGTGTTCTGTGAAGTTTTGTATAGTTTCTATAACTCAACAAGCATTATAGAGTATCTACCAGTTCCAGGCATTGTATTACTCATTGTGTGGAAAGAAGAGATTTTTGTTTTTAAAAAACTACAGACTACAACAAAATTAAACAGAACTGCAGTGGAGTGTGATAAACACATTAAAGGTAATATAAAGGGTGATTTAAATGCAGAAGGACCTGTAAATTTGCATTAGGAAATCAAGACATGCTATACAGCTTAGCAGGTTACCTAGATTGGGAGTGGAAAGTAAAGTCTAGCTTATGTGTAAAGGCCCAGATATGTGAAATTAAAATACTTGTTTAGGGAACTACATGTGGTTTCTAATTTCTCCCATGAATAATAAACAGAAATGCAAAAGTTTTAGATAGATGACTGAAGCCATCATTGGGTTAAAAAGGTAATTTTGGCTGTGACAGTTTCATAGGCAAGAAGCAATTACAGACAAAAAAAAAATCTCTAATTATATTGCTAAAAGTCTTGATGTAACATGCTGACAGCCAAAAGTACATCAATGAGAGAACAGAAAAATATGTACAACAGACAAGGGGAGGTGGAACAGGAATCAGTAAGACTTAGAAGCTGTTGAGAAATAAGAGATAAAGCAAGAAATCTAGGATAACAAAGTTTTCTGAATTAGGTAACTCAAAGAGGCAGGTGCAGTGTCATTCACAGGTTATAATATAAGGAAGAACAGTAGGTCTGACAGAAAGGCTTCCATTGTGGACATGATGAAGATAAAGGATATCAGGTAGAGATGTTGAATAGCAAGTAGACATCTGGCTTGGAATCCAGAGGGAAAGTCTGAGACATAGATTTTATTAACATATGGGTGGTAGCAGAGCACTAATTCTAGGTAAGATCCCTCTGTAATGAGAGCAAACAGAGACAAAAATAGGCCCATCTATATTGGGGAACAATGATGACTTCTGCTAGAAGTTCTATTGCAGTGAGTAGAAGACAGGGTGTGCAGATGTGCTTGCTTTCTGCCAATCCCTGGCACCACAGAGGAAAATCAGAACATATATACTGGAACTTTACTTTTTCCCATTTAGACTAACTTGCTTGGTAATTTCATTCAGTTCCAGTTTTGGATAGTACACCAAGAAGTTGTGTTTGTATCTCCATCCTACACTTCTCTAAACTTGAATTTACATCCACAAGCTCACCCAAAATATGTATCTCAATCTGCTGCTTCCAGTCTCTTCTATCTCAATAACCAGCAGCTCTAGTCTTCTGATTCCCAACAGCACTCTGCTCCTTGCCCACTCTGCTCCAGCTATGCAGGCTTCTTTACACCCCTCAACAGACCAACAGGTCCTCTCTCAGCTATGCTGCTCTGCTGGACACTACATGCTTCCCCCAGACCTTGCTCTAGTCAATTCTTCTGCTTTAATTCTCTTCAGAGGATCTGATTCTATCTGACATGTTTATTTTCTTCATTCCCCAACTGGACTGTAAACTCCACAAGATCAAGAGCTTTATTCTGTTCAATGCCTGGTATATTATTACTTGTTAAATGAATGGGTAAACTATACAAAGACCTCACTATCTAAATCAATAGCAATTTATATTAAGATGGACATTAACATGAATGAATACTAACATTACTGCCCAATGTGAAAAGACTTCTAAGCATCTAGTAATATAAACACAATTCTATGAAAAAAATCTCTAAAATATAGTCTGATTCTTGCTTACCAATAATCATGTATCTTACAAACTTATAAAGGTAATTTCAATATCTTACTAGCCACTGGAGCTTCACTTTGATCACAAGTATCAGCGACTAGAATTTCCTTTTCATTAGAGCTATGCTGTGAATGAGCTGAAGTCTTGGAAGCTTTTCTTAATTCTAAGGGAAAAAAACAGAAAAGGTAATATGAAAAACAAACGATGATAAGAAACATTATCAAAATATTATTCCCAAAGCCAAGTGAAACCTGTCCTTAAAATATTACAAAAAAACTATTTTATTGATAGAATTCTTGTTATTTTAAGAAATTTCTTTAGTTCCACTCAGCAACAAAGTTGCAAGTTAGGATAGAGAGCGACGAAAGACTAGAAGAAACAAGTTTTTTCTGCCTTTGACAAGGTGCTAAAACAGTAACATTTTAATGGTTTTTCTGCCTTATATACAATACAATTAAGCAGGTTAATTTAATGTTTACTACCTCATATATCTCCATAATCTTTATTATAGGTTTTTTATTTTCTGTAAAGACACTTTGAAACAAGTTTTATCAGAAATATTTCTACTGTTGAAAGAAAACTAAAAGGTCAAAGGATATAAAGTTTTAATTTAATTATGTCCTGAAAGCAATATTAAACACAGTATACTTTAAGCAAAATATTATTAGAACAAAACCAAAACTAATTAGTCATTAAATTATTTAACAGTTATTTTCAGGTAATTTACATAGCCTAACATATATCTTAAAACCAAAGTTTCAAATTCCAAATAAAATATGATGAGAACAATACTAAAGTAACAAATCAGTTAAGCTTTTAAATAGTTATTTCTTTTATCCAGTAAGGAAATAAGCCATAGGATATACTTATGCTAAATACAAAAGATGGCTTTCCTAATGAAGAAAATTTCTTAATGAAGAAAAATGCTGTGCACTGTTTAATGGATGTTCATATTCATGAATCTAAATATGATCTACATTATACATTATCTGTAATGATTCATGTCTTGTCTGATATGTCTTATTTCAAGATCTACCACCTTTTATTTTAATTCAGCTCCTAATCATGTGCACAGTTTTTAATAGTTCTTTTGTTTCCCACTAGATGGTGATGCTGACTCATAAAATGGGGTACTATGCCAATTTTAAATAAAAGTCTTTCACATTTGCATAACATAAATATCTTTAGAACTTCACACATCCTTTTAACTCCAATATTGTTAAGAGAACTTTAATTTAAAAAGTAGTCTTTATCATTTACTTTAGATTAACATTAAAAAAATATTAAGTGTCCTATGTCATATTATAAATTACAGGGCTATATGAAACGTAGCTTCAAATTATTTAGCAGAAATGGTAAACTACCATGGAATTAAAAATAAATCATAAGGGGCCAGGGAGATGGCTCAGTGGAATAAGTGCTTGCCTGGCAAGCACAGGGGCCTGAGTTCAATCCCCGGTTCTGCAAAAGAAAATAAATTAAAAAAAAAAAAAAATCACTGAATCAGTACCGTATTTGTAAACAATCGTATTGTCTCACTAGTACATTGTATTGTCTCACTAGTGTGAGAAACTGAAAGAATCAAAGGCCAAAATGTATAGGAGATATTGTAAATTGGGAAGACAGTGTTCAAAACAAAAGACAAACTGTGATGGGCAAAGGGGAAAGGAAGGGAAAAAGAAAAAAATATATTTATACATAAGATAGTTAAGATAATTATATGGCTAGTTTCTCTTAGTTCATTTAAAAAAAAGGTTCGTGTTAATAGTCTGGGCAAGATATCATGCCTGTATCTTGTACTCTGAATAAATACTAGGAAGACAATACGTAATTGTAAATCTATTAACCTTTTTTGGAATTGTTTTATTGTTATTTTTATTTTTTCTCAAGGAAAAAAAATAGAAATAAGTCACTGATAACCCACAAAACACACAAAACCATTTCTAGATCTGCTACAAATTATAAAAGTAAAAACAACCAGTTAAAGATAGCTCCAAATGACAGGAGTACCTGTGGACAAAACCTGCAACATGCAGAAGTTTAGAATCAGGAAAATCCGTATCTAAATTTGGATTCATCTAAATCTAAATCTACCTACCTGGGTGAGTTTTTAATCTCCTAAACGTAACTCTAATCTCTAAAACAAAGGAGCTAACGGCTGCTTCATAAGCCTGATATGAGGACAGATTGAAATACAGAAATAATGTATGTAAATCACTTAGCATATTAATACCTGAAACTCAGGAGGAAAGTTAATGTGAAGTTTGTTTCACCTTTCTTTGGATCCCACTCAAATAAATATACGTAAGACTTGTTTTGTTTTGAAATAGGGAATCAAACTCAGGGGCACTCTACTGGTGAACTACTATCTCCACTCTTAAATTTTGACCAAAGGTCTTATTAAATTGCCCATACAAGCCAAATTTGTGATTCTCCTTCCTCAGTTTTGGAGTACTAGTGTTACAGACACGTACTGCCACTAAGAATAGTTTTTAAATAAAAGAGAAAAGAAACTACCATATTTATAAAATGTAGAGTATGTACATATTCACATAGTACATATTTGTATGTGTACACACACACACACACACACACACACAAATACAGAAAGAAAATGTCTTCTCACTTTACTAACAGAAGTTCAATTCACAGTTGCACCAAGGTTACCTGGACAACGACTCACTTCTTTCCACTGTATTCAATGGTGTAAAACCAATGAAGCCTTTCAAAAAACCAGAAAACTGAAATACAACTCTAAACCTTACCATTTATACACACAGAATGCTCCAATTTAGTATTTGTTTTTTCCACATATCGAACATGGAGATTCTCCTTTCTTCGTAGTCGGTTAATGCCAGAAAATGAAAAGGCTGTTATTGGTGAATCTGGAATAACATTTTCCTCACATTCAAGCTCAGCTGCTTGACACTGTTGACCATTCCTTAAGGAAAGTGAAGATGGAAAGAAAGTGAATTCTACAATTTTTTTTTTCTTTTTTTTTTTTTACATGGAACCGGGGATTGAACTCAGGCCCTTGCACTTACCAGGCAAGTGCTTATTCTACTGAGCTATCTCCCTGGCCCGAACCCTACAAATACTATTAAACCATGTACTACATGGTGTGAATCCAAGTATGAAAATGCAAGAGATGTAATCCCTACATTCAATAATCCAAATCCAAGGATTAGAAAAGCAGGCAGAACAAAGAAGGGAATGTTAGTGTGAAAAATGAAGTGGAAGGTACAGTTGATGGTAAGATGAAATTTAAATTGTTCCAAGTAGCAAAGAAGATCAGCAAAGCCACACAGTTCTATGTGTGCCTGTGTTTGTTTTCTGTCTTTTTGAGACAGGGTCTCTCTAGGCAGTGTTCAGGCTGGCCTTAAGCTCACTTTGTAGCCCAGGCTGGTCTCGAACTTGTAACGATCTTTCTGCCTCGCTGTGATTACAAGTGTGTGCCACCATGCCTGGCAGTCCTGTATGCTTTTGTGGAGAAGGGCAGAATAGAACTGCAGGAAGTGGAATCTTGAGTAAGTGTGGACATAGTGAGGAAGCAGGAGGAAAGGAACTGAGGCACAGAAGTGACCCTACAATGTAATAGCACACAAAACTGGATAGGGCAGAAAGAAAGGAAGTAAAGCAATTAGACTCCGGCTGTAACAATCTAGGCAAGAGTTTTTGTGCTTTGAACTAGAATACTGTTAAATATACATGGAAAGGAAAGGACCAATGTTACAAGCCATGGCGGCACAATAAACATGACCTGACAAACAAATGCTGGATTTGCTAATACTGACTTGATAACTATATCAAACTTTGTTTTATATTTTACATTGTTGGGAACTATTCAAAGTGCTGTCTGCATTACTTTATCACACTGTGTGAGATATTATAATTATCATCTTACAACTGAGGAAACGAAGACATACAAATCCTGTTTTATAATAGTAAAAGATTTAACTTTTGGCAGATTCTAGGGGCCCCATCTTTAATCATTCAACATATTATCCTGTAGATCATACATCTAATGAATGACTACAGTAAGCTTTTAGCCCTCATTCTGAGAACGCTTCCAATCTTCTCTTAAAAGAACAGTCGTAATATCCTTTCTTACAACACAACCATGTCAGTTAGATTTGTTTAAAATCCTGCTGCTTCTGCCCATTTCCCTCGGAAGACAAGCAATGTCCTTCAGACAATGCAGAAGAACCTACACAACCTGCCTGTCCTCTCCCCCATAACTTTACTCTCACCATTCTCTTGAGTTTCCTCAAACATGCCAAGTACCCTCCTACATGACCTCATCTCCTTTACGCTGCCGCTAGAATTTTAATGTTTAAAACTGCATTCCCTGTTTCATACCCATTCTGCTATATTTATTTTACACAAGTAAATGCTTTCCAAACAAGTATGCAACTTATTACATCCACTATTCACCTATTACAATGTAAGCTCTGAGGAGAGGATCTTTAATTTACTGATGAATCACAAAAGGTGTACCACAGGCACTGCCCAATGATTTGCTGAACGAATGAGACATTCCCAAACCCCTAAAGAAATATGCAGACATATGTTCCTGCCCAAATCAATTCAGAACCCACGGCACATCAAGATTGGGTTTGGACAAACTCTGATTACTGAGTAAAATTAAATTAACTGACTTTCCCATGTCAAACCATTAGTGACCTTATCAGTCAAGCAATTCTTATCAGTTTGTCAGCCATTTACTCTTCACATGACCAAATTAATTTGTCCTATTATACTAATATCAATTTGTAATACCATTTCAAAGAACTACACAATAAGAATTTTATAAACTATGACCATAAAAAAATTTAAAAGAATCACTACAGGACAAAGATTAACATTTCCTAAAAGATACATACTTAAATTTCCCGATAGTATCAATATTATTTGTAGTCTACAATCCTATGTTGCAATTTAAAATATTATTTTTTGTCCAGGGAGCACAACTTAGTGGAGTACTTACATCCCTCATGTGAGGTGCTAGGTCTGATGGCCGGCACTGCTTGCCCTATTATTTTAAATGAACAAGTAGTGTTTATACATAGTTATAAGATCTGATGCGATGGCTGGATATACATTTATATTGGGAGATTATACGAAGCAAATTAATGTTTACTTCACAAGCTTTTGGGATAAAAACATTTGAAATTAATTTTTTAATAAATCTAAAATATATAAGGAATTACCTATTGAAGTTAGAATTCTGCACAACAGAGTTAATATCTAATCTTTAATCTCTTCCTGCAATTCTATCCTTATTTTGGAAAAACAATAAACTAAAGTCATATGAGAAAGCCTTACAAATTAATGGAGTGTAAAATCTATCTGACCTTGCTTTAACTAATCACATCACACACAGCCTGCCTTCCTAGTAGTGGTCATAAAAAAATTCAACCTATAACATGAATGAGTCACATGAAGAAACAGACTTCCTAACAAAGTCAGTCTATATGTAGCTGGGATGAAAAAAGGGGAAAAAAAAACTCCTCTACTACAATAACCAAAACTAGCTCTAACTAGAACTGCCAAAACTACAGTAAGTAAACAGGTGGAGGTTTTGCCATCTTTTAAAATAAAAGAAAATAAAAGCAAAAACAACTTTTATATCTTAACCAAGCTTATTCCTTAAAGCATTAGGAATCACAATAATTTTCTGAGAAAAATTAAATGATTTCATGTCCTAATTTTAGGTTATATTAATTATGCAGTTTTAATCCTCTGTTCACTTTTCCTGCTCAAAGCCTGAGAATACATTTTTTTTTTCTGATAGTTTTCTTTGTAGACCTCCTCTTAAATTCCTGTCAGAACTGTTTCAGTTATCCTCCCCACCACCCCAATCTGTAAGGATCCAGGGTTTCTTAGTCTAAGGAGTTAGCAAAAAAGACAAACATTTCTGTTTTCTCTACCTGAGTAATTTAAATGTCTAGTTAAAACATAACAACATTTTTTTTTCAGTACTGGGGATGGAACTCAAGACCATGTGTTTGCCAGGCAGAGGTTTAAGCCACTGAGCTATCTCCTTGGCCCTCAGAGCTTAATGAAGAAATACTGTAACCACCAATTTCATTGAAATGTTCTAATTTTTTTTAAAAAATGGGATGAGGATTCCCTAAAGTACAAATCAGTGAGTCTGATAACCTGGTTCCTTAGAACTAATATAAAAACTTATTATCTATTTAAAAAACATATTTAGTACAGGGTCTTACTACACAGCTTGGACTCAGTGATCCTGTTTGCAGCCTCTGTAGCACTGGGAATGCAGGTACCATGCTGCCATGCTTAGTTTTGGGGTGGGCACCAGCATGACATGTGGTGCAGGGAATTGAATCCCAGTCTTTGTGCTTGCCTGAGCAGGTGCTTAGTCCACTGAGCTATCTCGCCAGCCCTATATAAATAATTCAAATAAGGCTAATTTTAAGAAGCAGGACCATGAGCCAGTTGTTCTGCGGGATGCTTTATCGTACACTGGCCCTTGGGAAGGCATCTGACAATGATTCCCTCCACATCCTGTATATGCAATCCTCTGAAACCTGTGACTTGGGGTCTTCACTGAGCCACTGCATCTGCTTCCCAGTACAGTCCTGACCTTAGTACTCTGCTTTTTTTTGACTGGTAAAATTGACTCTCATTTTATTTTTAACCTGATAATGATGAATTTAAAAACCTGAATAATCTACTGTAGTGCCACTAAGTAGCTATCCAACTTTCTAAGGCACCTGTAACCTGAAAATCAGCACAGGTGAGTTAGAATTATTGCACTTATCAAGCAGAAGTCAGGGTTTTTTCCAAAGTTAAAGGGAATTTCAGGCACTAATCACATAACATTGTGGTGGTTTGGGTAGTCAGAGGAAATGAGGTGGCCTTTACAAGCTGATACTCGCTATTAAAAAAAACCCAAAACCTGCCAACAAAAAGGAACTTTGTTTGAAGAGAGCAAGTCACAAAAGAAGTTGTTGGCTCAGAAGAATCACAACTATCTTAAATTTCAGGAAAAGACTTGAAAGATACAATAGGTTATTTCCTACACTGTTCTGATTAAGCATGCCCTAAAGAAAACATACATGTTCCGAGTTTGTCGTGATTAGTCTTTACTTGAATTTTTATTTTCCTAAAACATCAATGAGCTTTAACAGAAAAAACTGAGAATCCTAAAAAGAAATTTTAAACTAATCGGAATTAAAAACAAAACAAAACAAAACAAAAACAAAAACAAAAACAAAAACAAAAAAAGCTACTCAGAATTCACATTTTTGCCCAGTGG